TGATCATTCAGAGCGAATGTCGTATTTTGTTATTGGATGTGCTTAATTATATGCACACGTTCTGATATTGGGTTTGATATGCAATTGATGATGATGGTAGGATGCGATGATCGGTTTGATTCAAGGCTTCAATGTGGCACCAACGGCAGCAAACGTTATGACAGCGCAGACCGCGGTGGCACCGATCGTGTTGGGCTCAGATGTGAATCAAACGGCAATCCAGAACGCTATTATTGAAGCACAGTTGGCGTCGTGTCCGTATGGTGATAGTCCTCTGCTGAAACTCGTCTCTTCTGAAACGCTCAAAAAATCCGATATACCGAGTCCAACCAAGTAAGAGATGAATTGAATTTATTCTTCTAATTCCTGAGAATTGCATTCTGAAATGTATTTTTTTTAGCAAGCGATAATGATAACAATTGTAAAATGCTGAATAGTTCAATGAGTCTGTGATGAGAATAAGTTTCAGTTTGCAAAGGCAGATGCGATTTTTGGCATCAAAAGCGAAAGGAGGAAGTGGCGGCGGCGGCGGCGCAGCGATGTCATCCGCCACAACGCTCGTCTCAACGACCACAACTCGAACGACTCCAGCCATCGCACTCAGTTCGTTACCAACTGCCGGATCACCGATCAATATCTCAGTTCAACCGTCCTCAAACAATCTTCTGAACAGCTCTCGACCCTTCAATCACCTCTCCTATAAGTCAATCTATTCCTCACCAAATTCGGCCACCACCGCTCTCTCCAATCCACCACCGTTGACTGATTCTGCAGTCAGGTATTATTTGATGCTCTAAGTTTCTTTTTTATGGTTGATATCTGATTGGATCAACGAATCCTTGAAAACTTTTCAGCAGACCGTCAATTCTGAAGCACGGCTCAGCTAATGCGTCAATGTTCAGTGCTGAAGCTGGTTCAGGTAGAGGTAAAGCAGATGAAACGAGAAATGACGTGAAGCGACTCGATCTAAATCGCCTTAAGAAATCACTGGTTTGTTCTTCAGTTGTGTTGAATTCCAATTCATCTTCAATGCTTCGATTCGTAACACATCCAAAATCTCACCTATTATAACGTTGTAATGAAAAAAGAGAACTCAACTATCATTGGGGTATATAAATCAGAGTATAAGTGAAATTTCTCCTTTTGATTGTTTCAACTGCTTTATGCCGACCTGTTGTTGTTCTCAGGAAGCAGGAAAACAGCGACATCCGTTATCGTCATCGCAAACGGCGGCTACGACTAGTGCAGTATCATCACCATCGTCAGTCAACGGCAGCATTCAACAAGATCGAACTGATCACGACACGGCCAGTACTGAAAGTCAACAACACAACGTGGTTGGCTTTTTTGTTAATAATACTTATATTTGTTCAACATTTTCATTGAACTAGATTGAGATTTTCTGTTTTGAATGTTTTGAACGTTTATTTTGAATATTTTGGTTTGCTTGAGACTCTCTTATTCGTTCAAATTATGTATTCGTTACTTGTCAATTTCGAATGAGGTATCCGTTGGCGAATTTCCCGCTGATTTCTTCATAAGATTAAGTGAAATTAATTTTGTTCGATCTGATCTGAATCACGGCATAAATTAACTTGTTGAATTGATCGAATATGAATGCGAACAAAACGAATATAACCCAGTATTTAATTTATTCTTTTCCAAATCACTAAGGTCATGCTTTCAAAGCAATAAATTCAATGAGTGACGTTGCCTAAAAGGTTGATTCATTCAGAATGGCGAGATGCAAAATGGAGATTTAAAATCGACGGGGTTGTGTCGACCGGTCTTATCACCCGAAACCGAAAATGTTCGTGAGAAAAGAAGAGCCGAGTTGAGAAAAGAACAACCGCCAATACGTCTGAATTTGAACTCCGATTACAACACGAGTACTGATGTGGGTGTTTTTTGGATGTTGTCTTTAATATTTCGATGTTCTTTCTTTACTTCTAAATATTCATTTCCGTTGACGACAGTCGGATGGATTAATTCGAATGTTGTTGGATATATTATAAGCATTTGATGAATTTTGTGTGGTTGTTGACAGTATGATTAAGCGAGTTGTTTTTAGTACGTATTTAGTGGTATTATTTTGAAAAAGATGTTTTATTATTAATACTGAAATTTGTATTTTTTAAATTATCATTCCAACTTATACGANTCCTCATCGACAGCGTTGATTGCATCGTCTGAAAACTCAGTGGTGTCAGGAGCTCGTTCAGTGATAAGTGCCAAGCCTCATCCAGCTGGTATAACTCTGCGAAGGTAACTGTTTTGATCAGTTGCGAGAACAAAGCTTATTTTTTCATCTTATTGGCGTTCGTCAACATCGTAATGGTTGTATTCGTTTTTAATGGATTTTGTTCATTGGTTGATGGGAATCGCTGTGAAGTTTCAAGTATTAACAGACGTATATAATTAAACATCATACAGAAGGGATTATGTGTGTGAACCAAGTTTGGAGCAGCTAGCCGTAATGGCTGAACGTAATAATGGTGTATGTCGTATCGAGAAGGGTTTTACAATTCGTCGATTCGGTTACGGAAGTGTTTTTTGGCCTGGACCATTTGATTTAAGTAATATTGACATAGATGAGGTCGGCGTTTAAGTATACACTATTATTGTTATTGTCATTGCCTGAAAATATATGTGTGTGTAGAACTCAAAAAGAAAACAAATCGATTCGGTGAAGAGGACAAATGTTGTTTGAATAAGAATTTCTCATTCTGGACACAAAATTAATGGTAGCGAAACATAGTTTCTCACCCATTCCATAAATTGGATTCGATTGGCTGACTGTACATTTTTCAAAATAAACTAATGTAAATTCGAGTAACGGAAAGAGAGATGGATGGCTGAAATCGCTGAACATTCATTGTATCACCTGCCTATCTAAGTTGTTTCAATGTTTTGAAGTATTTTCCACAGGAATTTTTTTCATTCTGCCAGTCCAAATGATTGTGATGTGTGTTGTAATGTGATTATGAAATAATTCAAAGTTTAGGTTGTTCATTTCCGTCAGAATGAAGTGATTGTTTATCCGGATGATTCGAATAAGCCATCAGTTGGTGAAAAATTGAATCGATTCGCTGAAATTAGTCTGGAACGGGTTTGGCCACTAAACAAAAAAACTAAGGAACCAATAACGGTTGGGAATTTTCAGTTTTTTGTAATGTTCATTAAATAAGATCAGTGATTTTAAGTATTCTTTAATGGTTTATTGCACGAATATGAATGCAAAAATGAGGGAGTTGGTGCGAAATAAATTGATTGCGATTGTTATCCATGTCAGTGTGTATGCGTGAAACTAACTGTTCATTGTTTTGATTGTTTCAATGTTTTGTGCGGTTGTTTCACAGTTTTACATGGTATTTTATGTTAAAATTCTACCAACCAATCAAAAATTTTACCAAACTTTATGTTTGGACACTACTTTATGTTGATGTTTGGACAATAAGAATTTCTCATTCTGGACACAACATTAATGGTTTATGTTTGTTGTTTATGTTTTGTGTTTGGGTATTTGTTGTTTATGTTTTGTGTTTGGGTATTTGTTGTTTATGTTTTGTGTTTGGTTTATGTTCGATGTGCGATTTCCTCTGCGTGACATGCGCTAATTTTCTTTGCGATCGCTTGTGATGTCCCTCGTGTTCGTAGCCCATTACTGGTGCATTTGAATCTGTTCTAAGCAAAGAGTCGAAATAAAATCAACAATAAATCGCAAACCTACCGTAAAGTGGTATGTTTACGATTTATTGCTTATTTTCATCAGTTTTAGGATCCGATAGAACTGGAGAGAATGCATTTTCGTGAAAAGCTGGAGCGCGTATCAGCGAGAATGGATGCAAATTTCAAGGATTATCGTCCTGAAACTGGCACTTGGGTCTTTACGGTGCCACATTTCACTAAATATGGTCTGCCGGTTCGTTAATTTTCATATGATTATCGCTATCACTATTGTTTCTTATAATGTCGTGATGATAGATAGATGACTATTCGAAATCTCATTACTTATCTGATATGATAGATCGATGGTTTACATCCTCTCGTGAATCCTCTCGACGATTTCCTGTGCGTGACATGCGCTAATTTTCATCGTGATCACTTGTGATGTTCATACTGTTCGTAGGCCATTAGTGTTGCATCTGAATTTGTTTT